TTTAACAGAAGTGCAAGACTTTTTTGTATAGGCTCTGTCAAGTAAAATTGAAAGCTTCTTATGAAAACAGTCAACGGGAGGTGCCAAGTTTTTTTTTCTTTTGAGCAAGAGCAAAGTTAAAAAAACAAAAACCTGCTTTTGCACCAATGAGTCAAGATGCATTGACTGATCATTCCTTATGAAACATCTTACAGGCAATCCTCTCTGAATTTATCTTTATTTATCATATTTACATCAGTAATGATAATACTTTGTGTTCATGTAGCACCATTTGGCTTATACAGTATTTTCAAATGCATTATCTCATTTGATCTTTACAGTGATTCTTACCGGCAAAGTCTGGCCAGACATTATCATTCTCATTTTATAGATGAGGAAACAAAGGCATAGAGTTGCACAGGCTTCAGAGTTGATGATTCAAAATCTAGAACTTGAATCTGGGTCTTCCAATGCCATAAGGCTGACTGCCTACAAAATAATTTCCACTGACAGCAGCTACATAAAATTATTTTTGGCTATTTTGGATTCCAATAAATCGATATTACATAAAGGAACAATTGAGTTACAAAACAAAAGAAAAGAAAAATCGCCAAGTCTGTTCCATGCGTTATCAGTCACTGCATAGCACTAATACTATTCTTTGAAATATGTTCTAAAATAATACCACCTGTCTGTGGTGAGCTGAGAAATACCTCCCTAGACTTTGTAAATGTTAGATAGTGAATACACTAGCAGCTTTCTGGTTTCTAAGAATATCCATTAATATCAGCCTCCCCCAAAATAATGGGCCAAATGAATACTCTTTTTGTTATCGCATAGTTCATCAATTTTAAATTCTCCCAGCTGCTGTTTATATTAGTAGGATGTCTTTCCTCTCATCCTCTTCCACATTTCTAATAAAAAATACTGGCATTTCCTTTCCCAGTGGAGAAGCCCCACCCGAAGCCCAGTCACATTGCCAGGCTTCTAGGCTCTAATGATTAAATAAGTGATTGCTCTGCCTAGCTTTAAAAATGTGTCTTATATAAGGCAGTCAAGACGCAATATCCATCACTGTAAAGGAAGTCAAGCATTTATTTAAAATAATGAAATACCCTCATTTTCATTTTTCCCTGAGAGGATTGTAGTGATGTTAAAAAATTCTCTGAATTCTAGAACTAGGGCAACACATTGATTTGAAGAAAGCTATAATCTTCTCTTCTAATTTGAAGTGTACTTTCTCCTCAGTGAAATAAAGTGTGGCTTTCAGAATAACAAGGGCCCTAGGCCCACACACACAAAGACATCCTTATCCCAACCACTCCTCTTTCAGGTTGGCCCCATTCTTCCCAAGGCAGGAATTTATAAAGACCTTTTCAATAAATGTCAAGGTATATTGAACTAAAAAAGAGAAAAGTTCAAATCATTTCTTCCAGATTTGGGAGGGAAATGATTTCAACTGCCAAGTCATGATGAATATTACCTTTTGCTTTACACCACCGCCTCATTGCAAATGAGTAAGTTGGATAAGTTCAATTATGGGGTCTCTTGGAAAAGATTCATAATTAAATTTTTAAAAGGAACAAATTAGCTCTTTGTCTATCTGAGGCAGAGGAGTCAGAACACTTATTCCTATGAGTGTTCAGGGATTTCAACTTCTATGGGTAGATTTCCTTAAATAGCCAAGGAGGCTGACTTAAAAGAAAGGCTAGGAGAGAGAGTCAGCCCTCTGTGATGTGGAGAGATAATAAGTTAGCAAACTGGATAGCATAATGGTTTATGAAATTCTTCCTTCAAGGACCATTATCTAGTGCTAATAGTGTTTTATGTCTTCCTCTCCTGTGCTTATTTACAGCATAATTATAAGAGTGAGAAAAAGAGGAGGAGTTGGGTATCAAAATAACCATATGCCAAATTAATGCAGCCAACTAGAATCTCCGGCCCTTGGGGCTTGTTTATCAATTAGTTCTGTTGCAATCTGAGTTTCTGTTGTTCCCCACAGAATGGAGATACTTTGATTTCACTCATATGCCACCTCCAAGGAAAGTCATTTGAGATCAAAACATTTTCCAGAAAGGATCTCTTTTCCCCTTTTCAATATCATGATGTACTATACAGCCAGCTCCTCACTCATTTCAAGGTCATTCCGTAGCACAAATAGTTAACCCTTTCTCCCTGTCTCTCTCGCATGCACTCTTTCTTTTCCTGTCTTGCCTCCCTTTTAGCTGGTTAATGTTGGGTTTATTTTTTTCAACTGCTTTATCTTCCTTCACCATGTTTTTAAAGTTGCTATGTAAATCTCTTAGGTTAAAGCCACTTGTGTGTGCCATATGTGATCTGTAAATATTTAACAGAAGTTATTCAGAGTCAATTTTAACAGAAGTTATTCTGAGTAGTAGTTTGAGATAGTATAAGATGTAGTAGTAGTTTGCAGTGAGACAGGAGAATTGTTTGTATCCTCCAAAACCAAGCCAGTACATCAGGAACTGCTGGTTTGGAAATGTGCCTCAATCCCAGCTTGAGTTTCTCAACTAATGAGAAACTCATTGAGTTTTTAAAGGGATCAGAGAAAAGAAGGTGGCAGGAGCAAGGAACTGCTTTAAACTATGATATATGCTTCACATGGTCTTAGTTTTCCTAAGAATCTCAACTGACTTTTCTTTTTTTTTTTAACCTAAAAATAAAACAAATTTTGCATCCCTTTTCACACTCGTGCTTCATTCTTCTTTGAATGCTAATTACAAATTTTTCACCCTTTGAAAGTTGGTTTACCGAAACCCAAGAAATTACTTACTCAAATCAGGAAAATTAAAATGTAAAGGAGTGAAGTCTTGTGGAGCAAAGTACAGACAGTTCTCCACTTTGATGAGCTGACTTCGGATTTTTTGACATTACCATGATGCCAAACCATCATGATTTCAAGTAATGTACAGCATTCAATAAATTATGTGAGTTATTCAACACTTTATTATAAAGTAGTCTTTGTGTTAGATAATTTTGTCCAACCAGGCAGCACGTTTAAGTTAGGCTCGGCTAAGCTATGATGTTTGGTAGGTTAAGTGTATTAAATGAATTTTCAACTTAGGATATTTTCAATCTACAATGTTTTTATTGGGACGTAACCCAATCATAAATAGAGGAGCATTTGTGCTTTGTTACTGTAGCTCTAGCAAACTAATACAGTAGATAACCTGCGGCTCTGGAGGCTGGAGGAGTTTGCAGGAGTGGGCAGAATGGCCACAGCTGGGAAACACAAAGATTTAACAAGCGCCAAAAAAACAGGGAGGGGCAGAGGTCAAAATCCAAAATGATGCTCCTAATATAGCATGAATCAAAAAAAGCCAAGCAAAGGAGACAAAAACTTAGTAAAAGATTCAAAGACTGAACCAGAGATAGCAAGTCATTCTGTTCTCAGCTCAGATGTCACCTCCTTAGAGAGTGACTAATTTAAGGTAGCCCTTCTCCCCCATCCCACCTTTGTTTAGTCCCTATCCGATTACCCTACTTACCACTACCTGAAACTGTTTTTGCATTTGTTTATCTTCTGCCTCTCTCTCCTAGAAAGTAAGAGAGAGGAGACATTTGCATTCGCTTTCCATTTCCAAATCTACTTCATTTGTAGATTTGTTTTCAGCGTTTTTCAGATGTCTTACCAGCTCACTGCCTGGCACCTAGTAGTGTTCAGTGCGTCCTTCATGAACAAATGAAGTAGATTTGGCAAGGCAAAGGAAATAAGAAATTAGAGACATTACTTGAGACACCAGAGAATGGAAGCAAGCTGCTTGGTGTGGGTCCTGCAACCTTGCCCATGGTGAAGGGAAGCTCAAATGATTGCCAGGCCAATTCAGTGTAACTGGCAATCAAGACATAGGAAATCAATGTTGATTTGTACTTGCCTATGGTTAGGATTCTCCAGAGAACAGAACCAATAGGATATATTTAGATATAGAGAAAGAGATTTATATGAGGGACTGTCTCATGAGATTATAAGGGCTGAGAAGTCCCATGATCTACTGTCTGCAGGCCGAAGGCCCAAGAAGAAACCAGTGGAATAGTTTCAGTCCAAACCCAAAAACTTGAAAACCAGGGGAGCCAATGTTGTAAATCGCAGTCTGAGCCCAAAGACTCAAGAACCAGAAGCACTGATGTCTGAACTCAGGAGGAGATGAGTGTCACAGCTCAAGCAGAGAGAGCAAATTAGTCCTTCCTCTATGTTTTTGTCCTATTTAGGCCTTCAATGAATTAGGTGATGCTCACTTACATTGGTGAGGGCAGTCTTCCTTACTCAGCCTACAGATTCAAATGCTAATCTTTGCCAGAAACACCCTCACAGACACACCCAGAAGTAATGTTTCAGCAGCTATCTGGGCACCCCTTAACCCAGTCAAGTTAACACATGAAATTAACCATCACACTGCCTGAACCATGAAGATGGACATGAAGCCGGCACCCCAAACAATGCACAGTTCACCAGAGACGCATTATCCACCCACTCCTAGGCCTTACCTCTGGCTGTACAAAAGAATTTCAGCAATTCTGTGGGTTTCTTGAAATAAATTATTCAGAATAACAGACATTCTACCATGCGGTTTCTAGGAGAAATATGTGCTTCTTAAATTGAAAATTCTGCCCCACTAACTTCCTGAAAGATGAAGGTGGATAGTTACTGGAGAGTTCTGTGAATGAGGTAATCTGAAATACAGTAAGGCCCCTGGGGAAAAAGTCTTTCAAGTGTTCCAGTTGAATGTGTCTGTTTACAGGGATTTGTATTTAATGGATGACAAGTTAATGTGTCATCAGTGTCTGTGGTTGTGATGAAGTTGCGAGGAAAATGACAAGTGTTACACATGCAACTTTCTGTTTTACTGATACACTAACTGGTCTGTTAAAAAGGATTTCTTTTTTTAATCTTGTAAAACTGAAAGAACTTTCCAGAGGTTTCTGCTTTTGTGGTATTCTCTCTCTCTCTCTCTCTCTCTCTCTCTCGCTCGCTCGCTCTCTCTCTTTTTTTTTTTTTTTTTTCTTTTCAGTGGGCTTTTTGGCTTTGAGTTTTTCAGGAAGGAGACAGATTTCTCAAGCAGAAAATCTGGTACAGTATACTCACTAAGCTGGATGAACAAACCAAAACACTAACAGCAATAATATTTATTTAGAAGAATTGATCAATATATGTCCTCAGGATCTAAAACCATAAACTGATGAACTGACATAATCCCCTCACTCACAATAGATCCCGCTCTTTGTATCATAATACCATCTGCCTGGATAGAACCCTTTCCCCAGAAGCTCAAATGATTTGGCAATGGTTGTTAATACCTAAGATGTATTTGGAGAGGATACAGATTTATTTTTGCCCTCTCTTTGTGTTTAAGGCTACTGAGACACAGAAAATCCACACCACAAGTCAGAATTACTCAAGGAGTAACCACAGACATACTGACCCATTACCAACTACTTTATCCAATATACATTAAATGAATCTTTAGAGTTCCATGCATGATGCTACTCTTTCTTGTCTTTAGTTACGTTACTATTTCCGGCCCATGGGCATATTTTTTGTACTGTTTTGCCACCTGAGAAATCGGTTTGGTTATAAGCAAAAAGGCTACTTTTTTAGCACCTCTTGCTATGAGTTCTTATTGTCCTTAGCCACTCTTCGGGTTTTAAGAGAGTTTCTTTTCACACTTCAAATTCTCTGATTTTTTTTTAACAGAGGATTTACTAGATTCTAACTTGCCTACTTTTGTTCTCACATCTGAAGACAACAGGAAAAAAGGTCAGTAGAAATAGTGATTCTGTGTGCGTGCATGCGTGTGTGTGTGTGTGTGTGTGTGTGTGTGTGTGTGTGTGTGTTTCAGGTCTTCATAGAAAAGAACCTGCAACGTGTTTCTAAACCTCTTTAACAGTTTCAGCTTCCCCACCCTGCCCTCGGCATCTTCAAACTTTAACGTGCTCTTTGCAAACCATCCCTTTTTGCACTTTTTGATTATCAAGAATCCCTATAGAATTGGTATAGCACAGTGTGTAGGAAACTAGAATGAACTAGAAAAATTCCAAGAAATGGAAACACATCTAGGATATAAATGCATGAGGCCAGGAGTGGTGGCTCACACCTGTAATCCCAGCACTTTGGATGGCCAAGGCCAGAGGATCACTTGACCCCAGCCAAGGTTGAGACCAGCCTGGCCAACACAGTGAGACCTTGTCTCTACTAAAAATAGAAATTTTTAAAAAATTAGCCAGGCATGGTGGCATGTGCCTGTAATCTCAGCTACTCAGGTGGCTGAGGCAGGAAAATTGCTTGAGCCCAGGAGGTCAAGACTGCAATGAGCTGTGATTGTGCTACTGCACTCCAGCCTGGGTGACAGAGTGAGACCCTGTATTAACAAGTTAATAAAAAATAAATGCATATATCACTGGGCGAATAGCAGCTTGAGGTGCTCCCTGACACCCTGGGCTTTCCCATCCAAGATATTGCCTATGTCTCAACAGGCCTTAGGAAGCTTGGAAGTGACTGTTTATGTAGTCACTCGCTAGCTGTGTGATCTTGAGCAACCTGCTGAATGTTTCTGAGTTTCCATTCTCTCATCCATCAAATGGAGAAAATTGTACCTCTCTTTTAACACTGTGAGGAATGAAACTCTAAAATATAAACAATAGAATGGCATGGAATGCAGCACACAGCACAGTGCTTCCTACAGGCCTTTTAAAATGAGAGCTGCAGTAATAATGGTAAGAAGTATTGTATTTATTACCTGTCCAGAAAGGAATGCTCATTCTTCTGTTAAAAAAAAAAAAGTGTTTATAAACTTTTTTCATGTTCTCCTCTATTTCTATTATATTTCTCCTTTTTTAGCTCCTTCTAAACTGCCCAGCTACCTATGTTTATGCAGTCCCTTCCCCCAGAAAATCACACAGAAAAGTATCAGATAAAACAAACTCTCAGCTGAGCAAGGTGACTCACGCCTGTAATCCCAGCACTTTGGGAGGCCAAGGTAGGAAGATCACCTGAGGTCAGGAGTTGGAGACCAGCCTGGCCAACATGGTGAAACCCCATCTCTACTAAAAATACAAAAATTAGTCAGGCGTGGCGGTGCACGCCTATAATCCCAGCTACTCGGGAAGCTGAGGCAGGAGAATCACTTGAACCCAGGAGGTTTCAGTGAGCCGAGGTTGCGCTGTTGCACTCCAGCCTGGGTGACAGAGTGAGACTCCATCTCAAAAAACAAAACAAAACAAAAACAAATTCTCGCTTACTCTTCTAAGAAATAGAACTATGCAAGAGGAGAAATCCTTAATTTGAATGAGTGAACTGCTATTGAAATAAAGGGGGCTGGGCGCGGTGGCTCACGCCTGTAATTCCAGCACTCTGGAGGCCGAGGCAGGCAGATCACAAGGTCGGGAGATCGAGACCATCCTGGGTAATGCAGTGAAACTTGTCTCTACTAAAAAATACAAAAAATTAGCCGGGCGTGGTGGCAGGTGCCTGTAGTCCCAGCTACTCAGGAGGCTGAGGCAGGAGAATGGTGTGAACCCAGGAGGCGGAGTTTGCAGTGAGCCGAGATTGTGCCACTGCACTCCAACCTGGGCAACAGAGTGAGACTCCGTCTCAAAATAAATAAATAAATAAATAAATAAATAAATAAATACATGGAACAGGATTTGGGGAAGATAAGATCCTCCCTCACACCCTTTAGATTTCACAGATGGGTAACTAGCTACTCAGCTCAGGACGGTGTCTGAGCACCACTCACTATCCGACCCCTGCTAATCTCTCCACCTGCCCTCCCCCATCCTTCTCCCCATCATCCTATCCTCTTCTTTTACTCAACTAGTCCTGGTACACACCATGCTCCCTCTCATTTTATGCCCTTGCATATGCTGTTTCCTCTGCCCAGAACGCCTGACCCCCAGCCAGATAATTTCTAGCCATCCTTAAAGATTCAGCTTAGCTTCCCTTTAGTGAACTTGCCATAGCATCTTCCCCAGGACTTCCTCACTGTTTGACCCTGGCATGGATGGAGGAGTGAGATTCACATTACAGCCTGTGTGAATGGCACCCTCTGGAGTGGTGCTGTGGACAGTCTGCAGGACTTAACCTTGTTCTCCCACACTCTGCCCAGCATTCTTCCCCTGTGTATTCCAGTAGCCTCCTGATGTAAATTTTTATTCCACCATTTTATCCATTTACTTGAAACCTTTCCTCCTAGTCTAGCAGTTTCTTAAGGGAGGAGTATGGGTTCTGTTTCTATTTTTCCAACACTTCACATACAACCGGCACTCAATAAACTTTGATTAATTGGTTGATTGATGGATGCCTGGATTAACAAATGAATGAATAAATTCAAGAGTTGAATGAAGGCTTAACCATAGAGATAGAGGATAATAACTTGTGAAATGAACTCTATAGAGATGAGAAAGGAACAATAAAAAGAAGATCAAAATGTAAAGTGGAAAAATCCTCCATTAATAGCCTGATTACTGGCTCCCAAATATTACCTGACAGGAGCCTCTTCCAGGAGAGGCTTTTGGGGAGGCCATTATCATCTTACTAATAGGTGACTCACAATGGAGTAGAAAAGTACGCAAGAGGACAGAGCAATATAATGGCAAAAGTAGACTAAGAATCAGATACATAGCCTAAGACAATGGTAGAGAAAGTTTGCTTTCTAGTACCATCTTGGGACTTACTTATAACCTTTTGTAATTGAAATTGAATCCATGTCTGTATATTCCAAGTTAAGAAGCTCTTTTTTTCTATTCCTAGTTTCTCTCACTTCCTTTTGCTTACTGTTTAAAGTTTCAAAACTTGCTGCACATCACATCCTTTTTTTATCAGCTTTGGTGCACCTTAGAACAGAAATTTCCCCCAGGAGGACAGGATACAGGAGCCTATATTTAGAAAGTACTTATTATGGTTTGGATGAAGACCTAACTATGCCTAGAGTCAAGCTGCTTGAAGCCATTCTAATATTCATTTAGTTAGAATGGTAACCACACTGAGTTATTGCTGGTCTCATATGGATCATATATTCACAGTCAGCTCTTGGCTTAGACAAGAAGATATATATATTGTCTCTGCTGTTCACATCATGTATTTTTATTTCATTATGCCTATTGTGCTTAGAAGCATGATTTTCAATCTATATTCCCAATTAAATTATTTCAACACAGTCTGTACATGTAAGCACATAGTTTTCTTTGAAGCAGACTTTGTTAAAATTGATATCTATTCTCTACTATCTCTGCCTTCCAGGACTCCCACATTCTGCTCTAACGAGAAAGGAAGAAACAATTTTTTACATGAATGGACTTCATAACCAGGCACACAGGAACTGGCACGAAGTTTTAAAAGTTCTAGAAAGCAGTAGAAGTTCTAGAAAGAATGAGAGTTCCAAAGGAAAACTAAATTTGAACACCAGCTGAAGTCTCTGTCACATCTTCATTGGATCTGTGGCCCCCAAACTCAATTGTCCCTCTCCTTATACTCATGTTGGATTTATAGGCAAATGTAACTAGGTAAAAGAAAAATTAAAACGGCCAGTATAATTTCATCAAGGGAACACATGGGTGAATTGTTGAAAACCATAAAAAGTGACACCATTTAGATCAACTCCAAAATAAATGCTGCCAGCTGTCTGAAAGGTCACTTGGGTGATGGGTTCCATGCTTGAGAGGTCAGCATATCCTCTGCATGAAGTTTCATAGAAAACTAGAATTAGGAGCTAAGCGTTGTGAGAGTCAAAGTAAGGAGAAAAGGAGGAACAGTTGGGAATTACTTCTAAGTCTGAGTCAAGAGAGACACAGCATTAGCAGAGATTTTCCAGTGTGATAAACACATATTCAAATAGAGAGTTAGAGAAGGCAAGGAAATGTTGAGAATCAATTCCTTCACCAGAATCAAGCAAATAAAAGCTCAGACTTAGAAACTGGAAAAGAGATATGAGGCCATGGGTGAGATTTCCTGTCTTGAAAGAAGACTTTAGTGCCAGAAAGTATTTCACTGTAAAAAAAAAAAAAAAATACCTCGTGTGAAGGGGGAATTCTTTTTTAAAAATGACTAATATTCCACTTCGTCTTCATCCAGAATTTATAATCTATGTATCTCTTAATTGGGTATGAATATACACACACAACTTCTATCAAGAAGAGAGGAAAAGGGGAGATGGTTATGACAGGAAGTTTTTGGTACTGGTGGAAATGAATGATCATGTATATTTTAATCCTTGTGGGCAATTCTTATACCCTTGTTATGTTTGTTTAAGGATGTAGAATGAGGACATAAATCTAAATGACAACTGTACTTTATTGATTTTGCAGAGTTAAGAAGAGTATTTATGAGGCATGGAACCCTCCATCAGATTTGGAAGAAAGTAGAGTGAGCGCAGAGGTGACAGACAGCCACTGAGGCCCATGGACAGTCTCCACTTCATGCTTCTCTATCAGACTTTAAGATTTATTAGTAATATGCTACCTTTGGAAGATGAAAAGAAACTAGTGCCAAGGAAGCATATTCTTCAATATTTGAAATAGACGTGTTCTCAAGACAATGGCTTCAAAGGTCTCCTGTTTGTATGTTTTGACAGTTGTGTGCTGGGCCAGCGCTCTCTGGTACTTGAGTATAACTCGTCCTACTTCTTCTTACACTGGCTCCAAACCATTCAGCCACCTAACAGTTGCCAGGAAAAACTTCACCTTTGGCAACATAAGAACTCGACCTATCAACCCACATTCTTTTGAATTTCTTATCAACGAGCCCAACAAATGTGAGAAAAACATTCCTTTTCTTGTTATCCTCATCAGCACCACCCACAAGGAATTTGATGCCCGTCAGGCAATCAGAGAGACGTGGGGGGATGAGAACAATTTTAAGGGGATCAAGATAGCCACTCTCTTCCTCCTGGGCAAGAATGCTGATCCTGTTCTCAATCAGATGGTGGAGCAAGAGAGCCAAATCTTCCACGATATCATCGTGGAGGACTTCATTGACTCCTACCATAATCTTACCCTCAAAACATTAATGGGGATGAGATGGGTGGCCACTTTTTGTTCAAAAGCCAAGTATGTCATGAAAACAGACAGTGACATTTTTGTAAACATGGACAATCTTATTTATAAATTACTGAAACCCTCCACCAAGCCACGAAGAAGGTATTTTACTGGCTATGTCATTAATGGAGGACCGATTCGGGACGTCCGCAGTAAGTGGTATATGCCCAGGGATTTGTACCCAGACAGTAACTACCCACCGTTCTGTTCGGGGACTGGCTACATCTTTTCAGCCGATGTGGCTGAACTCATTTACAAGACCTCACTCCACACAAGGCTGCTTCACCTTGAAGATGTATATGTGGGACTGTGTCTTCGAAAGCTGGGTATACATCCTTTCCAGAACAGTGGCTTCAATCACTGGAAAATGGCCTACAGTTTGTGTAGGTATCGCCGAGTTATCACCGTGCATCAGATCTCTCCAGAAGAAATGCACAGAATCTGGAATGATATGTCAAGCAAGAAACATCTCAGATGTTAGAATTTTTACCAATGTAAATACGTTTCTTTTCTTTTTTTAAGAAATGGGACCTAAGGTGTTGGTATTTTCCAGGTGTCGGGGGAAATGAACTGGTGAAGGGGTTTTATAAAGTTTTTGCTTCCTGCTATAAGTTCCTTTCTTGGATTACCAATTTATAAAGTTAGACTCTGGTCATAGAAACAATAAATGAGTTAGAAGGGCCAGATTTCATTCTCAGTCCCAGAGCATTGCTATTTATCTCAAAAAGTGACTTCCAAACAACTCCTAGGATTGACATACTGTGCATCTGAGATAAAAATTTGGTTCTGGGAAACTGAAACTCACAGTAATGTATCATATCATCTCTGCAAAAGTTAATACATAAACAGAAACCATTTTCAAAAGCAATTCAGAAAGGATGCACAGTCAGGAAGACACACTGGATGTGATTATTAATATCGTATGTATTGTTACATTATATTTTTACATATTTTGCCATGTAATGTATACAGTATTTGCAGTTCCACCAAGAAATGAACTTGGTACCTGCAGAGAGGCTGCAGTTAAATAGATGGGAGTTTAAATTTGAGAATCAAACATTCTAAGTGTTTGGAAGACAACTCTGCTTGTTCCTCCAAGGTTTAAATCTGGTCAGCAGGTGGAATGTGTATAAAATGCTACTTAACAAAGTAAACAAAAGATTTTTTTTCTTTTTTTTTTTTTTTCCTTTTTGTTTTGCTGTTTCAGAACAAACATTAAGTGGTGCCTCCAAGGAAACTTTGCCAAATGTCATCTCACCTGCTTCCTTCCAGACAGTGTTGCTAAGTGCATTTCACAGTCCCTGGATCTGGCAGGCATATGTCTCTATGTAGAAAATAAGTTGGTTGGAGGCTGGAGAACAATAAATCACATTGAGAAAATAGAAATTTAAGTATGCATTATAATATAACATAAGCTTAGCAATAGTATAAGATGCCCCCCAACACATTTGCAAAGCACGTGAGAAAATCTTTAAGGGTGTCAATATTATTGAAAGACGTGGCCCTACTTGCTAACATCTGAAAACACCAGCGCATGTTCAGCAGCAATGCTGTTATGAGGTATTCTGGGGGCTCTGTGATTGAGGAAGGATGGGGAAGGCCGGGTTCGGGTCCCGTTGATGCCACCATACTTATTGGGCCATATGAGTAGGCATCATAATCTTGTGCTTCAATGTGTTCATTTATAAAAAATGGCTGTAAAAAACACCTACCTCACAGATGCTGTGAGAGCAAATTGCATTTGCTAAGTATTTGGCGATCCTTAGCTTAAAAGGTGCTACGTAATGCAGTGTATCATGCATTATGCTAAAAGCTAAAATAATTGCATAGTTACAATGATGGTCATCAGTAACATTAACATCATCTTAATATAAAATCTGCTGAAATAAAGATCAGCTGTGAACTATCAGTGCGCCTAATTCTGCCAAGGCTTTGACTTTTCCTTGGCTATAATTTAGGTGTTTGGGAAAGCTTCCATTTCTCTGCGATTTCTTCTGGTTTCAGTGAATAAGGGACTAGGTCAGTGTGTTGCCTTGATATCCCAAGGTGCTGAAAGTAGAGGCAGCTGCCTTTCTTTGGGAAGGAACCTCTGGTTGGGGGTGTATTACAGTAAATGAAGCATATGCTTTGCAAAATGCAAAATGCATCACGACAACTTAGATCTCAGGAACCACTGAATCTGAATTCTCTCTAAGAAATTTGAGCGCAGGTAAAGCTAGTTCACCTCTTTCAGAAGAAGCAGAATAGGCAGTCAGCAAACCTACACATTGCACATCTTCTACCATTTATTAGAAAACACCTCTTTGTTCTCATTCAAAGAAAACCCCGCAGCTGAAAGTGTGTACCTTTTTTATTTATTTGCTTATTTTTTAACTTGACCCCTGGAGCCCCCCATAGGAGCTGATAGCAAACAGATAGACACAATGAACAAGTGGAAGTCATGGCGTGTTTCTGCAAAACACGATCTCTCATCCCCCGCCCTAAAGGACCCAATGTGAGACAAGACTTCCCATCCCTTAACACATCGTCATCTTCTGGTCAGCAGGACTGCTGGTTTTGATTAGACAATAGCAATTAGGTAACCTGGGAAGAGACAGATCAGCACAAGGTGAACCACCCTCCAACCCTGCAGCCTCAACTGCTGTGAGTTCCAGTCACTGGGAAAGTCTCACTTCATACTTGGTTCACCTTCGAGTCGTGCAGCTGAATCAAGCCTCTGTCTCATACTATTGCCTTGCATCTACCCCATGCTCAAACCACCTCTGGTGTCAAGAAATTACACATTATAAACATCATATATGTACACCTATGAATCATTTTATATGTGTGTGCATACGTTATGAATACAGCCCTGATCTTTAAAAGGAGCAAAAATCAGAGAATCATATGTCTTAAAGAACTGTTTCCTTACTTTTTTATGCTAGGTAATGCCCATGTGACAAACATGTAAATATTCATGAAAGACCACATGTATATATTTTAAAAGCATTTTTTTCTTCTCCCCAACTGTATGTATAGCTAGAATCTGCTTGCTGTGTAACATTTTCTTCTGCATGGAGCTTTTGGTGAAGCAAGGCCATTTGTCCAGTGTTTCAATAGCCTTAAGCATGTTTGCCCTTCATTTTTTGAATGTTCAAAAAATGGTTAAGTGATCAAGAAAAAGCTCTAACTTTCTACTTTTGTTAATTTTATGACATGACACTGGCCAAAATACTGTTTCAATGAGTGTTGAGCCATTCTTACCATCTCCCTGACATAAAATATACAATGTTTTAGACAGTATTGTACCAAGAGTCTTTTAGACAATTTTTACAAAAACTCTTTTTTTCCCATTATGCACTGGATAATAATAGTATCAGTGTCTATGTTCTTAAAGTTCCTTTTTTAATTTATTTTTTGGAAAAAAGTTTCTCTTTTGTGGCTAGTTTAGGTGGCTTTGTGTCTTCTTATATTGGAACAAGTGTCAATTTCAATATATAATATTGTATTTTTAAATAACCAGAATCAACAAAACGAAGATCACTTTTAATTTGGATTCAATTCAGAAGAATAAAACCCCTTTGCATGACACGATACGGGGGAAATAAACTATTTACAGAGGAGCCAAGGAAGAAGTTTTTCAATCAAATCTCTTCTATCAAAAGACAATGGAATATTTACCTAACGCATCTGGGATTCATTTTTTACCTTTCCTAATATGTGGGTTTAGTGGGAGAATTGATTATGTCATTTCTTCTGTAAAGGTGAAAATAGTTTTTATAAACAACAAAGTAACTTGTGAATGAAAGAAGTAATTTACTAGAACAACGCTTGTTGATGATAATTGACATTTAGGTATAACGTTATATATGAATGATTGTATTTATGTATTTATTTGTCAAAAATGTACATACCGTTTCGCCAAAAGTAATTGTCTGTAAAAGTGCACTCTCCAGGTTTGTAGTACTATTTAGGGTTACATGGGTTGCCAATCAAGCTGCTAATCAGAATACTATTTTTTGTATCAATGTTATAAAACTAAAAATGACAGACGCTGAAGATATCATTACATTTTCTTCACCTTCCTCTTGAAATGTAAACTGTTGACTGAAAGCACGATGCTTATGTACAGGCCCATCTGTCATGAGGAAGATTATGGTTCCATAAAGCTGATTTTTTTAAACCATTGGGACAAATAAACAGAAGGAGAACAAATGTTTCACTTTTCTTCTTTTTAGAAAGAATCTCTGGTGAGACGTGATTGCTAAAAGCTGATGCCCTGCCGCTCACCATTGACCTTTTCCACGATCTCAATGTAGGTAATAGTTTATGCCATTCATAGCTCATCCCCAAGAGCCCAGTGCAACTTAACAGTTAACACAGACACTATTCCATCTAGTAAGTAGACCGGTGGCTACTCTGGGATTTAGAAAACAGGGATTCACTTGCCCCTTGGTGGCCTGAAGGAATTATTTAGTTAAAAAGGCTAGTTAAGCCTTTGTATTAAAGACTATGGGTTAAACATGCCAACAAATTCCAACTCAGGGGAGCACTCTATTAATAATATGTTTGGCAAATTATGACATGTTAAATGTAAGGCAAAAATGTCATTCTCATGGTTCATCTGCATGTATTCTTTGGAATACTGCATGTTACTTTAGAAGTTTAATTGGATCAGAAAAGATTTATTCAGACATCCTTCGCAGCAGCCAAGTAGATGTTGATTGCTGATGCCTGATTGTGTAAGCAAGAGACTGAGAGCTATTTAAGAGACAAAAGTTCCTTTTATTATCAATCCTGATCTAGCTAAACAGATATTCACTTTTTTCTTTGTTTTCTTCAACGTATTTTAAGTTCAGGGGTACACGTGCAGGATGTGCAGGTTTATTACACAGGAAGTCGAGTGCCATGGTAGTTTGCTACACAGATCATCCCATCACCTAGGTATTAAGCCCAGCCTCCATTAGCTATTCTTCCTGATGCACCCTCCCCTGAACCCGTCCTGACAGGCTGCAGTATGTCGTTCCCCGCCATGTGCCCATGTGTTGTCATCATTCAGCTCCCACTTGCAAGAACATGTGGGTTTGGTTTTCTGTTCCTGTGTTAGTTTGCTGAGGATAATGGCTGCCAACTTCATTTATGTCCCTGCAAAGGACATGATCTCGTTCCTTTTCATGGCTGCACAGTATTCCAGATATTCACTTCTTAATGGAAATTTAACTTTTGATTTACTCTCCATATACCTTGGAGTTCAAAAAGGTAAAGTTTATCAGGTGAGTGGAACTATGTGAATAAATAATAAAAACATAAAATATACAGATTTGTATTCCACATAACTTTTTCAAAGGACCAACATCAAAAGCAGTGATCTAAAATTATAGTCTCCAGGTCAGACACGGTGGCTCACGCCTATAATCCCATGACTTTGGGAGGCCAATGTGGTGGGTCACCTGAGGCTAGGAGTTCAAAACCACCCTGGCCAAAATGGTGAAACCCTGTCTCTACTAAATGTACAAACATTAGCCAGGCATGGTGTAATCCCCGCTACTTCGGAGGCTGAGGCAGGAAAATCGCTTGAACCTGGAGGCAGGGGTTGCAGTGAGCCAAGATTGCGCCACTGCACTCCAGCTTGGGTGACAGAGCGAAACTCTGTCTCAAAAATAAACAAATAAATAAAAGTATAGTCTCCAGACCAGGAGCACTAGACTCAACAGGGAACTTGCTAAAAAAGCAAATTCTTGAGTCCCTCCAGAAACTTCAGCGTGTGGCTCACCAGTCCATTTTAACGAGCCCTCTAGGTAACTCCAGTGCCCACTGGAGCTGAGAACACTGACCCAGAGCAGAGACTGGCAAACTACAGTCTGTGAACTCCATCGGCCTGCTGTTCACAAGCTAGGAGTGGTTCCCATGAACAGCTGCAATGACTTGACAGCAGATGCTAACATGGAACTCCAACTAAGCAGGACGTTAGTCCAATAGGAAGAATGCCATTCCTCTCATTAGTAGATGTGTATTACCAATAAACAAAATTGTACTTGGTTATTATTTTATTTTGACTTCCATCAATACAAAATCAGGAAATTTATTTTTTCTTTTGTTATGTAATGTACTATCATATATATATATATATATGTATTTTTTTTTTTTTGAGACGGAGTGTCGCTGTGTCGCCCAGGCTGAAGTGCAGTGGCACAATCTTGGCTCACTGTAAGCTCCGCCTCCCAGGTTCACACCATTCTCCTGCCTCAGCCTCCCCAGTAGCTGGGACTACAGGTGCCCGACACCTCGCCCGGCTAATTTTTTGTATTTTTAGTAGAGACGGGGTTTCACCGTGTTAGCCTGGATGATCTCTATCTCCTGACCTAGTGATCCACCCTCCTCCGCCTTCCAAAGTGCTAGGATTACAAGCGTGAGCCACCACGCCCAGCCAGTACTATCATATATTTTCAAGTTTGCTTCTTGACCTGCAAAGCTTAAAATATTTATTATCTTGCATGTTATAGGAAAAGTTTGTCAACCTCTGACCTAGAGAAACAGGAAAACATCTGAAAAAGGTGCTACACAGAAAATGTTTCAAGTTATGGATGAAAAATCACATCAACATTGGAATTGTCTTCCCACACAGCCAGGAAAATGACAATGTAGTCATGATAATGAATTACATTAAAAACCAACAGCTGCATATATTTTTGAAATATTTCCTTGTTTTCTCTGAGTGATTTTTAAAAATTATAAAAGCTTGATTCCAATTGTCACAATTACCCACATCTTAATTAATATATTGCTTAAAGATGTGTGCATATTAGACCTAAAAGGGTGGGTTTCATATAGCTTGATTATCATAATTGCAAGTATTCTATTTTCTCATTTACTTAATTGATTGTCATAGATTTCCAGATGAATTCACACTGCTGGGAGAAAATTGAATACATTTTTAAGAGAAAAAACAAAAACGAACAAAACATGAAACAGAAATGGGGATATTTGAAAGAGCAATGTGCTCCTCAATATAATCCATGTGAGCATGAAAAATCGCCTTTGATAAGATCTCCTTACCTCCTTGCTGGTTAAGATGGGCATTTTTGTGAAATGAAAAAGAAATGAATGAAGAAGTGTTATTGATTCAACCACATCGATAATAACACTGGCTCCACACTCTCTTCAGCCAGAGGTGCCTAGCACTCAAGAAAAATTATCCATTTAGTTTACCTTCTAGAATCTATTAGTTTAGTACATTATGTCAACTATTTGTTAGGCCTGTTGCAATGACCTCAGGCATCACCTGGAGGGAAAATGACACAAGAGGTGATTTATTCTCTCTAGGTTTATTCTAGAATGTTTACTCAGCAGTGGCTGCCTGATACTGCAGGCTGGGCCCAGTTACGTGTGGGGGTTTGTGATGAAGGCTGTTTTTCAACAGAGGTGAACATGGCCTCACCAAGCATGAGGTGAGGGGGAAGCATCAGAGAATTTCTCCCGTTGCAAAACCTTAAACTTTCAATGCCCATTCTTCTGTTTTGTCATTGTTGTTGCTGAATCCTAACAATAGCCTCATGAGGTAGATGCTGCTCTTAAATTGGCAGATTAGGGAATTGAGGCAACAGAGGCTTCTGCAACTTACAGGGTGAATTCAGGCCCTCTGGCTCTAGAGGCCATGTTCATCACCAACATAGCATTTTGCTTCTCAACAATAGGGACACATACCACTCCCCACCACCACACTGCCCAAGGCCCCAGTTCCTGTAGAATTCAGTGTAGCTATTTTAATTTGTTTTTCAGTTTGGAACTTCTGCCCCATTTTTTACTGCGTTATAATTTATACACTTTAAAATTCCCTCCTTTTAACGTACAGTTCTATGAGTTTTCACAAATGTGTACCTTCAGGTAATGACTACCATAATAAGAAATAGAACGGTTCTAGTACTTTCCCAAATTTTCTCATGTTCTCATGACACTTTGTAATCAGCCCCCTCCCCCAGCCTCTGGCAATCACTAGTCTCTTTCCAAATGTTTATTTTACTTGAGATTTACATGTTACTTAGTAGTCATCATCTATAATGTTTAATATATAGAAAAGGTATCTTCAAATAACCCATCATGACACCTTAGCATCCAACAAAGCAAAAAATCGAAAAGAAGAGAATAAAACAAGAAAACAGAATCTTAAGAAAATAGTTAAGCAACACATAAAGACAGATAAAAGATTCAGGAATTTAAAAATAAACCACCATGAATTCAATAATATCCAAGTCTAATAAATATTAATAGGAAGATGCCAGTCAAAAATCTACCACTTCAGTCACTCGAAATTTAGACCAGCTCACTAGAAACTTTAACAGAGCTTCTATCCTTCAGAACTCACATATTTCTATAAGGAGAACGATCTATAAGTTCAATTATGCCTTTTTTCCTCTTGGAAGCAAAGGATCCTCTGGAGAGGTATCCGTCACTAGCTAGCTCCTTAAAAAGGCAGGCCCTGTTTCCACTCAAGGCTGTGGTTCCACACCTGTCGCAAACCACACTCGTCGCAAACCACACTCTGATGAGCTCCCCCTCTGTGTCTGCTTGTGCTTTCTGACTTACTGTTGGTTTCTTCAACATATGCTAGTCCAAATTCTCTTTAGGAAAAGATAATTTCACCACTACAAGCTTCTCTTTAAACTTTATCAATAGAATCATCTGAGTTAACTTGGAAAGCATGTCATTTACAACAAAATGCCTCTCCGTCCTAGCAGGAGTTGGAGCCATAGGCAGCACAAGTATGGAAGCAAATAGGATACTGGAGCAGAAAGGACAGGATGAGGGACACGTAGACTCTAGAACAATGCTTCTCAGACTGGCATATGCCAAGTAATTACCGGAGAATCTTGGTAAAATGCAGATTCGTAGTTCTGGAGTCTAACCCACAGTTCTTTCTTGTGAGCTTCCAGGCAATGCTGATGCCACTGGTGCATCAACTGTGTTTTGAGTAACAGAGCTCTGGAATTCAAAGCTAGATTCTAAACAGGGTTACTAGTTTTTTGGTTTGTTTGGTTTTGGTTTTGTTTTGAGACAGGGTCTCCAACACCCAGGCTGGAGTGCAGTGACATGATCTTGACCTCCCAGGCTCAGGTGATCCTCCCACCTCAGCCTTCTGAGTAGCTGAGACTGCAGGCTAGAGCCACCACGCCCAGCTAATTATCTTATTTTATTCTATTTTTTATAGAGACAGGGTT